TCAAATATGAATTTTTTTTTCGCTGAGAACACTTAAGTTATACTTTCTTAGCAATTTTCAATTATACAATATAGTATTATTAACTACAGTCATCATGTTATACATTAGATCCTCAGAACTTACTCATCTTATAACTAAGAGTTTGTATTCTTTTACCAATGCTTCCCTATTTACACCTCCCCTACCCCATCCTCTGACAACCACCTTTCTACTCTCTGTTTCTTTGAGTTTGACTTTTTTTCATCTTGATTCCACATATAAGTGATAATGTGCCCTATTTGTCTATCTCTGTCTGAATTATTTCATTTAGCATAATTCCTTCCAGTTTCATCCATCTTGTCATAAATGTCAGGATTTCTTTCTTTTTAAAGGCTGAGTAACATTCCGTATATTTTATATATATATATATATATATATATAATATGTATATGTAATATACATGTATATCACATTTTCTCTATCCAGTCATCCACTGACAGACACTTAGATTGTTTCCATACATTGGCTATTGTGAATAATGCTGTAATCAATATGGGAGTGCAGATATCTCTTTGAGGTAATGATTGCTTATGGCATTTTTATTTTTAATTTCTTGAGTGATCTCCATACTGTTTTCCATAGTGGCTGCACCAATTTACAGTCCCACTAACAGTGCACAAATGTTCCTTTTTCTCTACATCCTTGCCAACATTTGTTAGCTCTTTTCTTTCGGATAATATCTGACATAGGCTACAGTATCCACTATTGTTTATTTTTGTATCCTCCTCATTTTTTTACAGAGCCTAGAACATTGTAAGTTATCCTCGAATGTTTAATGTTAAATGACATTAAAAAATAGGCATTGGGCATGAATTCTGGCATCAGTTGGGAGAATTCGTGGTGATCATCATTGGAAAGAATCTCAGATATGTTGATTCTGGTACTCTCTGGTCCTAAATGTGTATTGAGAGTAAATCTTTTCTTCTAATAATAAAAAAAGCCTGAGGAAATCTCTATCCCCCAAAACAAAAAAACAAACTTATGTTCTGCCCTTATTTCTTGTCAGTGCAGTGTGGGATAAATGATGTGCTGCTCAGAGATGGGGGCTACATGTAATTACTGGGGAGTGATGGGAGCTGTCCTGATTACAGGGCAACCTCAGACACTTTGGCTCTCATGGGGAATTGGCTACCTAAACTGGTGCTGTCCACTGTCCAGGCCAACATAAACATGGCTGGGAACAAGGCAGTGCTTTTATGGTCCTCAGTCCCTGGAGACCCTTTTTCACTGGGAAAGATACTCTCACTACAGTGAGCACTTGCCTGAGACCAAGAGGTCTCTCATGGCAGGGGCTGCCTGCGACTACCTCGACGAGTTGACTCAGCTCCCCAAGCACCCAGAGGCCCTCCTCCTGGAAGCCCTTCCAGGTCACTGGGAAACAAAATGCAAACACTCTCCCAGGACCCTGGTCTGTGTGAACAAGCAATAAGCAATGGTCATAACCTCCCTTTAGTTTGTCACCTTCGAGGATGCAATCACATTTTCCAGGGACAACTTTGAAAACTATGGCCTTTCTGTTGATCTTCCTCCTGTAGTGCATAAAATCAGTCATTTCAATCCAATTTGAATCCCATGTAAGTCCCACCTCCCCTATCTACTACACTCCCTTCCTTTATCCCATCTCCCAAATCTTAGTCCTGGTACTGGTATAAGAGAAAGAGAGGAAAAAAGCCCAGTTCCTAAACTCCAAGCTCCCAGGCTAATGTAATCAGATGAGTGTTTACAAAGAATCTGTGTGTCTTGCTTGCCAAAGGCAGAAACCCACATTTCTATCCCCTCAATGTCCCTGAGAGGCAGGAATTATTATCCACCTCCTCCCTGATGATGATGATAATAATAAGTATTTATTGAGTTCATACTATGTATTAAATATTGCGCTAAGCGTTGTGCTGGATAATTGCACATAATCCTCACAAAATCACTGACTGGTTGATTCTATTATTGCTCCTAATAAACAGAAGAGGGAAACGAACCTCACAGTGAGTGAATTGACTTGATGAGTCAGAATGGTTTGCTCTCTCTTTTGGACGGGGCTTCCTTTCAGAGAGCCCGTGAATATCTCCTGTGTGGAAAAGCCTCAGTCTTTGAGAGAAGTTTTGATTTTTGGAAAGAGCTATAATTGGCAGAATCGGGGAGTAGGAGGTCAAGTTGATAAATACTGTGTTTGGGTAAATAGCATGTGTGGCCTCAGGGAAGGGGGCTGGTTTTCTTATGTGGGTCAGAAAGCAGTTCCCAAGGAGACCCTGGAGAGCTTCAGACTTGCAGGACCTTTAGAATTGTTCCTGGCTTCTTAATGCTCAGAGCATGTAATATTTAGGATAGAGATGGGATTTAGAGTTTATCTAACTTAATCATCAAGTTTACAAACTTCGTTCAAAGAGATTGTGATGTGATTTAGACAAGGTCACCACTTAGTGGCAGAAGAGGGGTTCTGAGCTCCTAAATCTCATCCCAAGGATCTGTCCTCCTCTCAATATGGGGATTAAGTATCTTCCTCTTTGGGATACTTTTAAAAAAAATCTTAATAATATATTTCCTTTAACCCAGTGTATCCAAAATGCAATCATTTCAATATGTTTGTGTTATTAAATTGATGGTGATATGTTTTATATTCTTTCTTTGGTAATTATTTATCATAGGAAAACATACATAAAATGTACCATTCTAACAAATTGTTTTGGGTGTACAATACAGTGAGATTAAGTATTTTCACATTGTTGTGCAACCATCAGCACTAGCCATTTCTAGAACTTTTTCATCATCCCAAACTTAGTACCCATTAAACAATAACCCCTCATTCTCCCTTCTCCCTAGCCCCTGGTAACCTCTATTCTACTTTCTGTCTCAATGAATTTTTAGTACCTTATATAAGTGGAATCATACAATATTTGTCATTTTGTGTCTAGCTTGTTTCACTTAGCATCATGTTCTCAGGATTCATCCATGTAGTAGAATGTATCATTATTTTGTGCTTTTTTATGGCTGAATAATATTCCATTGTATGTATATACTAATTTTGTTTATCCATTCATATGTTGAATAACACTTGGGTTATTTCCACATTTTTGGCTATTGTGAATAGTGTTGCTATGAATATAAGACGTTTGACTACTTTTAAAAAAGTGAAAATCTTAGGGCGGAGGGAGGGGTAGGGGAGACTGCAATAGACTATGAATAAATTGTATTGCAGTGAACAGTGAGGAATTTGGGAGCATGAGATACACACTTTATTAAATTGTCATCCTCTTAGGTATATGGCAATAGCCAGGAGGGTATGATTCGAGGCAGAGTAATGCACAGGAAAATAAAAGAGGATGGAAGTTGTGAGAAGAGACATAGGTGGTTCAATCTCATAAAACGAGGCTCCTGACCTCATTATTTGGGGTGAGGCCTAATACCTGAATCTCCACTTTTGCAGAGCATGAGCACCCCTTCGTTTCTTTAGGGAAATCATCCATTTCTTCCATTTTGTCTCTTTCTCTCAGCCCTGGTCTTTTTGCATTGATTAACTGCAAGACTTTGAAGCCTATTCTACTGCCTCTGGGCAGGGAATCACAACTGGATGCTCACAGATACATATGCTAGGAAGACCCTTCTCCAGAAGAGAGGTTAAGAGTCTGAGGTTCCTTCCTCCTAAGAAAGAGCCCAGAGGTTGGAGTCTCCCCATGGTTTATCCACCCTAATCCCCCACCTAAGACTTGTTCGGTGAAGCTACTGAGGGAACACATAGGCCCAATGATTGCCTTCAGATTTTAGCTTCTCATCAGACCTTCTCAACTATACAATGGGAATAGCCCATCTTGAGAAAAGATGCATTCAGATTTCTGCACTGGTGGGAAAGAAGACCAGGGAACTTCTCACATCTCCAAATCTGAGTTTATGGGATTCTATAAACATGAAAGAAATAGGTGTTACACTTAGCAAAATTTTAAATAAAATTTATAATATCTTATACTTAAGTTGAAACTCAGATACTGGAAATGTTTGACAGATACAGAATACACTTAAAAAAAGGGAGACATGATTGAGAAGATATCTTCTCCCTTAATCTGGAAAGAAGCAGGCTGTAGAACATGAAGGGTCACTGTAAAACATGAAGAGTAACCTAGATTTGTTGCTCACAACAAGGGCAGGGTTACCACTCAATACAGATGCAGTCATTCACCTCATAAGGCACACAGCAGAGAGAAAACAGGATTTACACAGGCTGAGGAAATAAATGGCAGATGTTAAACAGGAAGCAAGATAGCATGGATATTAAATAACTGTATTTGGTTATGAAATTTAATTTCAGATCATGGCACAGCACCCACAAGCTGTGTGACTTAGCTTTCTTGTTAATGTAAACCTCATTTCTTTCACTGGTAACAGGGGTCCAAAATAGTACCTACCCCATAGGTAGAGATATTTCATTAGAATAAATTTTCAAAAGTGAGATTACAGCATTAAAGCCTGTAACATTTATTTATTTATTGACCACTCCACACGGCATGTGGGATCTTTAGTTCCCTGACCAGGGATTGAACCTGCGCCCCCTGCAGTGGAAGCGCAGAGTCTTAACCACTGGACCGCCAGGGAATTCCCTAAAGCATGTAACTTTTAAAAAGTTCTTGCTATATTTTGCCAATTACACCATCAGCTGTGATGCTCGAGGATATGTGTTTCAACACAAACTCTTTCATTGTGAATTTTCATTAATAAAAACTGTAATTTAATCGGCAAAAATGTTACGTATTGTTTTACTATAGAGTTCTTGGATTACTAGTCAGAGCAAATTTTCCCTTGTTTCAAAACCAATTGTACTTTTTGTCACTCTTCTTTATGTTCTTTTACTATTGATTTATTTTATTATTTAAGCCTTTTATATAATAAGGATGTCAATAGTATTTTTACCTGTGGAAAAGAATTACGGTAGCCTCAACAATTTCACCCCAAGCAGAGGAAGTGTTTGGAAGCCAACCAGAGAAAAGCACTGATGTGTTTATGGGCAACTGGGATTAAGCTAACATTAGGAAATCATTATATCAAGCCATTAAGGATAAAAGTGCCATGGTAAGGGTCACCTGCCTCCCACAGCCGGAAAATCCTTGTCACAGCTGATCTTAAACACAGCTAGCACCCGCGTTCTGATCTGTTTGGTCTTGACACCATAAATAATGGGATTGATCACTGGAGGCAGAAGTAGATAGACATCACCCATGAGAACATGCACAGTGGGATCAAGGCTGTTTCCAAAGCGGTGCACCACTGAGAGGCCAATGAGAGGCACATAGAAGGCCAGTACCACACCAATGTGTGACACACAGGTTCCAAAGGCCTTGGCCCGTTCTGACTTGGAAGGCAGCTGCAGAACTGTTCGTAGAATCAGAAAATAGGACAAAGAGATGAACAGGGCATCCACACCCATGACCACCAGAATGGCAGTAAGACCATAGACCACATTGGGCAATGTGTCTGCATAGGCCAACTTCATTACATCCTGGTGCACACAATAGGAATGTGAGAGCACGTTGGATTGGCAGAAGGCTAGCCGTTTGATGAGCAGAGGCAATGGGATGAAAAAGAGGGATCCACGGGCCACGGCCACCATGCCAATCTGGGCTGTCACTCTATTGTTGAGCACTGCGGCATGGCGCAGTGGGTGGCAGATGGCTATATAACGGTCAAAAGCCATGGCCAGAAGGATGGTGGACTCAATGGCTGAGAGAGCATGAATAAAGAACATCTGGGTCATACAGGCGTCAAAGGTAATCTCCCGGGAATCAAACCAGAAGAGGGCTAGGATCTTGGGCATGGTGGCTGTGGACAAGGCCAGGTCGATGGCTGCCAGCATGCAGAGAAAGAGGTACATGGGAACGTGCAGGCTGCGCTCCATCCTTACGATGAAGACCACGATGCAGTTTCCAAACACTGCCACGGCATACATAGAAAGCAGGGGGAAGCCGATCCAGAAATGAGCTTCTTCTAGTCCTGGGATACCAATAAGCACAAAGGTGGTATGTGTGAAGTTGCAGGCACTCATAGCTGGCACGGAGAAGGGGGCACTGGAGCAGGTGAGGTCACACTGGCAGCCTGCTAGCCTGTTAGGATAAGGAGCACAATCAGAGAGGCTGGCCCTGGAGACCTGGGAACTGAATGCACCTTAACTCTCCCTCCCCTACTCTCTCTTTCTGCTTCTCCAAGTCATTTGGGCTCTCTCATACGAAGGCTCTTTGAAGCCTCCTGCCAAATGGGAAAGTGACAGCTCAAATTCATTTATCATTCACTACTCTCTAAGTCCATTTACACTTGTAAAAGGGAACCTGGAGATAACAATGCTTATCTCCAAATCCATCCTTCCCAAGTTCCCTGGATGACTCATCCTGGCCCATACCTTCACTGTCTGCATACTGGGCTGCCCTTTTCTCAGCTAGGTGTTAAGAGATACCTTACCTAGAAACTCTTCCTGAGAGGCTGTGTTTTCCTTTTACCCTTCCTTTCCCTATTCTTCCCTTCCCCTCCCTTCCCTTCAATCACTCATCGGTTCTGTAAGCATTTACTTATAGGACGTATTATATATGGAGGCTATTTGATAGATGCTGATGATACAAAGACACATCTTTTGCCCTTCAGATGCCCTGTCTAGGGTGAAAGATAGACAAGTAACCCAAATATTAGAATCTTGGGATAAGTGTAAGCAAAAGATGTGCATTTAATGCATGGGAGGGTGAAAGGCATGATCAGAGGAACCTTCCTGAAAAAAGATGGTCCTTCTGTTTAGTCTTGAAACATGAGTAAAAATTAAGCAGACAGAGAAGGGAATAAAAGGTGTTCCAAACAGTGGGAATAGGGAGGTTTTTGGTTTTGTTTTGTTTGCAAATCTTCAGGATTCCAGGTCCCCAGGTCTAAGGTCAGTGGAAGAGGAAAAAAACACAATTGTGATTAAAAAATAAAAATAAAAACACAAAATAAAAACTAAGAAAAAAAGGCCAAAATCAATCTCTTAAGGTAACAAGGAAACTTATCTGGGGTCATCAAATGAAAGGCAGTAGCTCCCTCCAATGAATTCCTGGGAGATGGAGGTGCTGGCAGGATCCTAGCGGCCAGGCATGGTCTCTGTGAAGGCTCTTCTCTCTGTTCCTGGCTGATGGGTTCCTCCACACTTAAAAGCTGCCTCTAAGGCCACTCTCACTGCCACAAAGAGAACTTGATTGAGTCCTAATACTCCTAGAGCTTTGTCTTTCTTGGAACTTCTGCTGACCATTCGTGTTAGGCGAGACATTTCTTTTTTAGGAAGCCCGGTGTTGCTCTGCCTCACCCTGTTCTCTGACCTATCATCAAACTGTCTCCCTGATAGGCTCCCTAGGTGCCCTGGTATTTAGAGCTAATTGTCTCTAAAGAGTTAGGGGCTTAGCTTCAAGAAGAGTTTCTGAATCTTGAGAATAAACTCTGCAGGTGTCTTCATCAGTGATATTCAGGTTAACCTGTTCACCCCCCCAGGATTCTTCTTCACTCCTAACCTGGGTCCTTTCGGCTACTGGGACATACTCTTCTATTTGGCCTTAGTGGAGAGAGTTTGAAAAACATGGGTCTTAGAATATAATATGATAAAATGAAAACTAAAATTTTAAATTGGATTATCCTCATCTTGGATAAGCAAGGAAGAACAGATCCAAGGTTCAAAGGTCAGAAAATCCACACCTCTGTTTACTCTTTGTTCTTCTCCATTCTCAGAGCATGTGCCAAGATGTTACAGCTACCTTCCTTGGCAAATATTAGATCCCAGATTTGGTCCACTCAGTTGCTGTCAGAGAATGAAAAGCCTTTTTCAGATGCAGATGCTCACAGGCACGGAGGGTAGCAAGGGGAGCACAGTAACACACTTCCCCTTTCTCAGGGCCTCTGACGCTACTGCATCAGCACTGACAGACAGAAGGGTCGCTGCTTGTCTCAGAGTCAGATACCTCCCTGACTCTTCTCTCCGCAGGGCCCCTTTTCTGCTTTGCTGGTAACAGCCTAAGACTTGGGGCCATCATCACATCTCCCCAGTTACCTATCCCAGAAGACTTCATGTTTCCCTCCTATGTGCTCTGGCCTTCTGCCTAAAGTGACCCCTGGCCAGACCCAGTTTCAGCTTCAATTTGGGTCTGAATGTGGTTGTTGCATTTACTCTCACTAGGCTTTCTGGATGTCAGCTAATGCTCTGGAACATTTCGTCTTGGCCCGTGAAGATGGGGATGCAAGGGCTTCCCCTTCCCCTGCCATGAGACAGTTTGTGGGGCCTTCGAGGTCCCTCAGGATGGCAGAGACCTTGGTCTGCTTGACCCCAGTGAAGATGCACTCACTTGAATATGGTACAGTCCTGTTGAGATGCAGCTGAATCTGACTTTTCCTTTCAAGTACAGGTTTATTTATAACTCTGCCCATGAAGCCCATGGGGACAGGCTAGGGGAATATAGACTGAGGGCCCAGACAGGGGACAATATCTCCATGGCCACTTGTGTGTCACTCCCACAGGCTTCCCACTGTTTCAGTCTGGGGGGTGGGAGGGCGATCGCCAGGGACCTACCGCCTCTGCCATGACTCCCGCACTTACACATATAGGGCTCTAGACAATCTATTTCCGCTCCTCCAAGTAACTCAAACTCCAGTTAGCCACAGTGGTTAGTGCTTTTCCTCATCAGCTACTTTGCTAGACGCAACGTGGGTATATAGTTAGGTCCTTGGGCTCTAGGAGTTCACAACCTCTTTACCGAGATGGGTACACAAAAATGTAGTCCCATAATTCAAAATAAGGTCGTGCACCTCTTGAGCTTTTCTTTTCCCAGCTTTTCTTTCAGTTGATGACACAGACCCTGAGGTAGGGAAGCCACTTTTCATTGCACCTGGGTCACAGATAAAGAATACATGACATAAAGTCTCTTTGCTTAGATCACACAGTTAATGAATTATAATATTGGCCTGAGAACCAGGTATTCTGACTCTTTATTCATTCACATTCAACAAATATTTATCAGGGGCCTACAATGTAATAAGAAAAATAGATGCCACACACACAAACCCCCACCCTCACGCAGTATTCTGGTTAGGGGGACAGACAATAAATGGAGTTGATATAAAAAGTGAAATAAGATGTTAGGTAGTCTTATGGAGAAAAATAAAGGGAAGAAGGGAGCAGATAAATATCAAGGGGGTAGTTGACATTTTAAATGAAGCTCCTGCGCAACATTATGTGCAGAAGGCCACACATAATGAAAACATTTCAGGAGCCTGAGGGAGTGAGAAATATATTTATGGAGATATTTGATGAAGACCATTCCAGGAAGAAGGAACAGAAACTGCAAGTAAAGTTCCTGAGAAGGGAAAGTACCTGGTAGGCCAGTGTTCCTGAGCAGAGGGAACCAGGGCAAGAATAGTAGGCAGATAGAATCAGAGAGGTAATGGGGAATTGGATAATATAGGGCCTTAAAGGACTTACAGGATTTTCACTTGGACTCTGGGTTCAGGTAACTGCAACAGTGGCCATGTATCCACCACTGTTCTGGCTTTTAGGGAAGTCTCCAATTCATGGTGAGCTTGTCCACTTGGGTCACAGGTGACATTTACTCTGCAACACCCATTCCCCAAGTGTCCAGATTACACACTCACTTCCTAGGAATGGAAACTTACAAGTTTCTAGGATTGTTGGACAGTGGGGCTTTTCACACGTTAGTGGGTGGCAGGTGTGCTGGGGGAGAAACCTCTGTAGAAGTAGTGAGGACATCTTGACTGTCCAGTTCTTAAAACTGAAGCTCCCTCTCCTTCCCATGTTTAGGACTCTGGGTACCCCATCCTTCTTCTCTAGCCCAAGCCCCTCTTTCTTTCTCTCCTCCCTTTCTCCATGACCCATCTTATGTCACGTGTAGAAAAAAACAAGCAAAAATCCAGTCTGTAAGTCCACATCATCTGCACTTCTTTACTTACGTCCAATAGTGACTAAGACACGGTCCCTGGTCTTGAGAAGTGGGCAGAGTCCGCTGTGGGGAGAACGGTCACAGTAGAGTCTAAAAAGGGATGTCAGGAGGAAGGTGCTGGGAGAGTACCTCAGAAGGACACCAGACAGACTTGAGAAGTCGTGAAAACATCTCTGAAGGAAAGTCACTTCTATCCTAAGTCAGGAGAAGGGAGAGAGTGAGGGTGCTGTAGGTGGAGGTGACAGCTTGTGCAAATACTTGAAAGTGAGATAGAGCAATCAGGGCTAAGGAAATGCAAGTTGTTTGTTGTGCCTGGAGCATAGAGAGGAAGCAATGAAACTTGAGAGGTAAATGGAGCCACAGCATCCAGAGATGTTATGATTTTTCTATCTGGCAGGCCTTGTTTTAGGGTCTGGAAGATAACGTAAATGAAACAAAGAGTTCTTATTCTCAAATAACTTACCTTGTAATGGGGAAACGAGACAAGAAATAAACAGGTATGTAATATGTTGGGGAGAGGGTGAAAGTGCTAGAAATTAAAACAAGGTAGGTAAGGAAGAGAGAGTAAATCAGGCAGGTATTGAGGGAGAGGTGTGTTGTCATTATTATTTTTTATAATATAAAGGGCCCTGTAGTAAGGGGACACATGAGCAGAGCCTGCATGGTAAGAGGCAGTAAGCCAAGGGGGCATCTGGAGGAAGAACGTCCCGAGTAAGGAGAACTGCAAGTGCAAAGTCTGCAAGTGCAAAGTCTGAAGATGAAGCATGCTTGGTGAGTTTAAGGGAATATTTGGAGGCTAGTGTGGGTGTAGTAGAGTAAATAAAGGGGAGAGTAGTTGGAGATGAAGTTGAGATTATGGAGAGGAGCCAGAACACATAAATCCTTACAAGATATTATAATGACTGTGAATGTTCCCTGGGTAAGACAGGGGGCTTCTGGAACATGCTGTGCAGAGGAAGCGACATGATTTGTCTTGTGTATTAAAATAATCCATCTAACTACGGTGGGGATTAGTTTACTTTACTGTACTTCTACTTTATTTTACTGTACTGTAAAGCAAAAGTGGATTAAAGGAAGATCCACTAGGAGACTATGATATTTCAAGTTCAAGATGATGATGGCTTGGATCATGG